ACAACTTTATACCATCAGATATCACATAAGAATCATATAAAATTAAAAATAAAATATATGATATTTTAATACAACTTAATAAAAATCTGGTGGTTAAATGTGCTTACTAGTAGGGTTGTTTATAACTTATCCTAAGATTTCTCCCTAAAATATAAATGCATAATTTACATAAAGTATATAAACCTTATGGGAGTCATATTTGAGCTTTATTTTTTGTAATAAAAGTTCAATCATATTGGTTACTACATTAGAGTCAATCACAAATTAAATCTCATGACTTGTTGCTTTCAGATCACAATGGATGCAATAAGGCCTAACTTAATATATTCCACCAAATCTTTTTTTTTTTTTTTGGCTAAGAATATATTCCATAAAATTTTGCATATATCTTCAAGAAAACAAAAGAAAATAAGAAGAAGAGAGCATACTTTTCATGAAATTATGAAAAAGGCCCTACTATTCTCTAATCAATGTCCAATAACAATCTGATGGGAGCAATTTTTGATTAGTCCAAGTACGTCAGAAAGGACAGTATACCAATAATATATCATTTTAAAATAAAATAAAATATAACAAATAAAAATTTGGTATGTGGGCCACACTACACAATGTTATAATGCCATTGGACATAGCACCCATCATCATCATCATCATCTTACTAAATGCCTTACCATAATTCTATTTTAGGTCCATGACCCGGTGACCAAAAGAAGGGCACTGCCAATGACAAACACAAATTTAAAAGAAGATAAAAAAAAGCATTTTTGGGAGGCCCTTTTATCACTGCATATCACATCAATATCTTGAAGGATAAATACAGCATGTTTAATGTTAGACTCACTTTGTAGTCTGAAAATAATATTGTAACCATATTAGGAGAACAAAAACAATGAAATATCCACATCAAATGAGCAACAATTCACACCAATAGAAGAAGAGTCATTTTCTTAAGCATTAATTAACAAGCTCTTCTTTTTCGTTACGAAAATTTGATTTTCGATCAATTGAATGGCACATGTCATCTTAGGGTTCGTTCATTTTACCGATTTGAGTTTTTAGTTTTAAGTTTCTACAGTAAAAAGTTCTCAGAAAATGTCACATCTAACTTTTTATACTACAGTGAAAAGCTCTCAAAAAATATCACATGTCAACTCGAATTGAAAACTCGAATCCGCGAAGTGAACGAGGCCTTAAGAACTGCTTCAACAATAATAACTTGTGTATTTTATTATGAACATGCTGCTCAATGAGTAGAATGATGTCATACAAAAACGACTAAGCACAACAAGATGGCAGGCTCATGTTTTAAGCATGACAAATAGAAATGAGCACGATTTATATAAACAAGCACAACCCTTTGAACAGGTTCTCATAAAATTTTTAAGTTGAGAAAACAGTCACTATTTGTTTTAAACATTCGATGGATTTTGTAACATGTATATTGTATAGCGAAGTCCGTTCGATTCGCTAATTCAAGTTTTTAATTCGAATTGAGATGTGATGTTGTGTGAGAACTTTTTACTGTAGTAAAAAAGTTAGATATGACTGTTTCTAAGAGCTTTTTAGGCCTCGTTCACTTCGCGGATTCGAATTTTTAATTCGAGCTGAGATGTTATATTTTTTGAGAGCTTTTCACTGTAACAGAAAAAGTTAGATGTGACATTTTCTGAGAGCTTTTTACTGTAAAAACTCGAATCGGTGAAATGAACGAGACCACTGTAGCAAAACTCGAATTCTAAACTCGAATCAACGAAAAAAAACGGGGCTCCATATGCATTTCTCTGGGATATATATATATATATTTATTTCATTTCGAATGATTTTTTATTTTTTTTTATGTACGTACTTGCAGTTGTGTTGGAATATATCAAATTTTCAACATCCGAAAATTTTATTGAAAAAGGACCGAAGGACCGGCTCAGTGAAATAATAATCGAGCGAGAATGACAAGAGCTTTTGAATGTCACACCAACACGAGCATAACACGAAGATTTAGTAGACCAAACATAAAACAAAGCATGTCTGACCCTAAATCATTATTGGTTGGGCAGGCAAGCATATTATGCTTCTATCACATGGTGAATAAATTTTGAAATCAAACCTTGTCTTTTATTCGGTAAAACTTCGAGTACTTTTGGGCTGTGCAATATTTATTATTCTTACGCTAGCTGCTTATGTAGTTGAGTTTTGTTCTTTAGTTGGAAGAATTGTGTGCATTGTACTTACCAGCAGTGTAATCATTTTATTTTCTGATCGAAATTTTAATATAGGGCTTCTCACAATGGAAATTTATTTATTTTTAGGGTTTCTTGTTTTGGATAATTATTTATTTAGGATTATTCTCACGGGTAAATTTTAGAATCATTTTCAGTTTACTTTTTAAACTTTAAAATTTTCATTTTATCCTTAAACTTTGAATTGTTCTCACTTAACTCTTTTTATTATGTTAAAATCATACAAAAAAAAGAGTGAATTGAATGTGATTATGTAATTTTTATCTGCTTCTTTTTAATATAAATCTAAACAGATTGTCCGTGTGACTGCGTTATTTTCCTTTTTTCTCTATATAGTTTAACAAAAATTACAACATAAGGGATTAAATAGAAATAATTCAAAATTTAGAGAGTAAAATGAGAATTTTTAAAATTCATAAGAAAAACTAAAAATAACTCTAAAATTTAAGGATAATAATCCATTGTTTTATAGAAAGTTATTATTGTTTCATCACAATCAATTTTCTTTTTTGAAATACGAGTTGTTATTGTGTGCCATGCAATTTTGAGGGGAAAAAAAATAAAATAATTCATAAAAGTTTTTTTTTTTTTTTTTTTTTTTTTTTTTTTTTTTTTTTTTTTTTTTTTTTTTTTTTTTTTTTGGCAAAAGACGACACCTAGTGAAAAATGAAAATCGTCCCACACCCACTTTCCCAAAGGTTGTACCTTTCATTAGAATCACAAATGCCCAACCCCACTTCACCACTCCCCTTCAAAGAGATGCCTTTTTTTCATGGTTACAATCTAAGACATCAATACACCAAAAGGAAAAAAAGATAAAAAGTGGGCACACAAATAAGTAGTGTCACATTAGTGGGTTAGGCAAGTACCATCCACATTTACAATGTGGAATATCCCATCCAAAATGAACCATTTGTTACCGTAGCTCTTTTTTTTTAAACCCAAAAAAAAAAAAAAAATTCTGGAAGAGAGTGATCAACGATAGTATACTTTTTTAGATGTTATTAAAAGAGTTGGCTCTAACATTGATAAGAATGTTCATTAAAGTCCCTAATGACCACCCTACCCCCTTAATGAAGAGCACGTCATGTCAATCTCACAGTATGTACTAATAATTAAGATACATGAGAATGTGGTCACATGCCTACTAAATCGAGTATAAGATTGGAAGGAACAAACTTTTATATTTAAGATCCTCAAAAAAAGATACCTTAATACTTAAAACCTTTTATTAGATTTAATCAAGTTAATCCTTTATCGTTAGATTACCACATAGTTTTTAAAAGATGAGTAAGTGAAATAAAGGAAAAAAAAAGATGTACTCTTAGTCAATGAGACTTTCCTCTTAAGAAATAACTATAGTTGTTTAAAGTGCATTTAGGCCCGTTTATTTTACCAATTCGAGTTTTGTTACAGTAAAAAGTTTTAAAAAATAATTACATCTAATTTTTTTTACTATAATAAAAAAACACTCACACAAAGTCACATCTCAACTCAAATTACAAACTCGAATCAGCGAACTAAACATGTCCTTAACTTACTTTTGTTTAATAAACATGTTAATTATGCATGGTGCACTGGCACATAGATTTTGGTCATATTCACTTTGCGGATTTGAGTTTTTAATTTGAGTTAAGATGTGATATTTTTTGAGAATTTTTAACTGTAATAAAAAAATTAAATATGACATTTTTTAAAAACTTTTAACTTTAAAAACTTAAAACTGAAAATTCGAATCATAAGAAAGTGTTTCCCTCCCTCAATTAAAGTATCACTATTTATTATTTAATTACAAAAGTAGCAGAAATAAGTAACAATAGTGGGTAAGAATTAGAAATACATAAAAGGGCAAGAGTCTCATTGCAAAAATATAGATTTGTTAGGACAAAACGACAAATACAGTGATATGGGCACCTAATAGGTGCGCGCCTCTTAGATTTAAGATATATATATTTTTTTCTATGGACAATATTATAATGCAGATTATAATATAAAATAAACAAACAAACAGAGAAGTAAATAGACACATAAAAAATTATAAAAAGAAACAAATAATTTTAGAGTACAATAGAAGCTTAGGACAACAAACAAAAACAAATAATCAAATAAAGAAATAGATAAACAAAAGAGAATATGCTTATTTTGGTGGATATTGCAGCAAGCAAACCCAGACCAGACCTTCCAAGCTCAAAGGGAGGGATATGGATGAGAGAGACAGCTAAAGAAGAAACTAGAGAGAGAGAGAGAGAGAGAGAGAGAGAGAGAGAAGATCAGAGATGATCAAGAATGGAGGGGAGGGTTTTAGTGAGGGTTTAGTTTTTTTAGGTCTACCAACTGGTAGTTAGAGATTGAGCTTCTTAACCAAACCCGAAAATCAAAAAAAAAAAAAAAAAACAAAGAAGAAGAAGATCATCTCTTTCAGCTTTGAAGACGAAGCGCAACAACAAACAATTACTGGGTCTTACTGCTTTTTGTTCCGGAGAGAGAGAGAGAGAGAGAGGAACAGTAATGGTTTTGGGTTCGTTCGTACGTTGAAGTGTGTGGTGGGTGTACGTGTGAGTCTCACGTGGGGATTGATGGCCAAATCAATAAGGGACGAAGAATATATATTGATGATTATGATTACCATCATCAAAAAAGAACAGCAAAAGTGAAAAAAAGAAAAAAAAAATCTCCCCAGAATTATTACTCTTCTTTTTTTTTCCTCTCTCCTTTTCTTTTCATTGTTCTTTTGGGTTTACAAATATATATAAAATAGTTAATTATCAAAAGAATCAATAATATTTGTTGTTTTTTCATGTTTGTATTAGTAAAAACATAAGTAAAAAGTTATAGGGTTAAGGTTTTGGTTTTCTCTTTCACTTTCTCTCGGGATCGGGAAGGTGTTTTGGATTGTGTTTGGAGCGGATTGGTTGTTTGTCTCCAAGCTTTTCTGTTCCCCATATCGCCCACAACTGTTACGGGTCTCCAGGTATTTTTTTTTATTCTTTTTTTTTTCTCTTGACTTTACATTTCACTGTCTTACCTCAGCTACGTTTAATTTCCTTTATTTATTCATATTATAATAATATCCTATATATGCATTTCTCTCTCTTTTATCTTTGTTGTTTTGTGGTTCTCTTTTTCTCTCTCTTTTCTCTTTCTTGATGAAAATGAGATGAAGATTGTGATCGTATGAACATGAAAATTTGCAGGTTATTTTTCTTCTTCTCTATTTAACCTTCTTATTCTCTTCAAAAACTTTTTCTTCAACATGGGTGTTTTAGAATCTTACTTTTTATTCATGTTTTTTTTTCTTTTTTTTTCCCTTTTAATAGAACATGGGTTTTTTTTCTGAAATTTCATTTTCTTCCTAACCTTGCAGGATTTCTTCATTTCTGGGTTGTTTTTGTTTGCATGGGATTTTGGGTCTGTCTCGCTCTTTGCTCATAGTAATTTCAGATACTTGGGTTAGGTTAATTCTCTCACCTGATAAAGTGATGCAGAAATAATGGTATATCATACTTATTATTATTATAATAATAAATTATTAGTAATTTTTATTAGAATTGTTCTTATGGGTTCTTCATTATCATTTCGTATTTGTTAATTCTCTCGCTAGTTTGTGAATTTTCCCGTTACCATAAACAAGGGTTCTGGTTGTTGATTCTGGTTCAGAATATGATTTAATTGCCAGAAGCATAAGAAAATTCATATCTTGGATGTTACTATGTTCATGCATATAAAAAACATGCATAAAAAGATTTCTCTTTTGATGATGGTTCTCTTTTGTTTTTTAGGCTTTCAATTCTGAGTACTATATCCAGCTTGGGCTGTTGAACTATAGATTATACTTTTCGAAGCTACTAATAAAAGCTTTTGTTTATGATGATAGATACCAAAAAAAAAAAGAAGAAAAAATAGGTTGCTACTTCTGCCTGTGGTGTATGTTTTTGATGAATCTTCTCTCGTGTGTATGAATTGCATGAAGCTGAAATACTAGTATATGCAAGCAGAAAAATGATATATTCTACTTTATTTGGACGGTTAGGCCAAAGAATTTAATCCCAAATAGACTTTTTACTAATTCCGGATCACAAATTCATTATAATAAATGATTAATGATGAATATGTGTTCTTATTGTGTCGTTTCTATTTTTTTTGTCTCTTTTCAGTTCCATGTCTGATTGTGAGATCTAATTTGCAAAACTGGGCAAAGAAAGTTTCAAGCTTGAGATAGAAAAAAGACAATATGGCAACTTATTACTCTAGTTCAAACAATCAAAGAGAGGCTGCCCCAATGCTGTATTCAAGGGAACACTTGCCTAGTTCTTATCCAGAAGCTTCCGTTCTTCCCACAAACATGATGATGTACATGAATTCGGGTTCATATCCCGACGCATTAGGTGGGAATTCTCAGCAGCAAAGTAACTGCAATATTGAAATGCCACCAATGGGGGCTTCTGATTCCACCCCACAACAGCAGGACATCTTGTCGAATCTTGGGGGCGGTTCAAGAATCGGAGAGCACAATTTTGGTGAATGGAGAGATGGTAAAAATGACTTGGTAGTGACTCACTCAATGGGGGGTGGGGCTCCAAGCATTCTTCATGGTGGACAGAACTTGCAGGGTGGTCAAGGATTGTCCCTTAGTCTTGGCACACAAATTCCATCAGGAATCCAAATGCCTTCAATCTCGTTCCGCAATCCTAACATGGGTTTTGCTTCTTTCTTGAGCCCGAATCCGTCGATTTCAGGGGAAAGGAGTGGCTGTTCAAGGGATGATCAGCCGAGGAATGTTGAATATTTGGCGCCTGGTTTTCCTGGGGGTAATCAAGATTTAAGTAAAGGGGAATTGTCTCCATATGGGCTGTCAAGTGTTGCAAGAACAGTTCCTAGCTCTAAGTATCTCAAGGCGGTGCAACAACTGCTCGATGAAGTTGTCAATGTCCGAAAAGCGCTGAAGCAGCATGACAATGAGAGGGGCCAAACTGGGCAGGAGCAGCGGATGAAAAGCTCCAAGGAGGGTGATGAAGGATCAAAGAATGAATCTACACCTGGAGGTGGAGAGTCGACCACTAACTCACAACCCGAGCTTTCACATGCCGAGAAGCAAGATCTACAGAACAAATTGACAAAACTCTTATCCATGTTGGATGAGGTATGCCAATTGTGCTTTAGTTTTTCAGTCTCTTTATGAGGTTATTGCTTGTTGTTTGTTAGGCTTTCTTATCTAATCATTAATTGAGCTATGTTAAGAGGATTGAAAGCTGGTTTCTGTTTGATCACCTCCAAATTCTTCAATCACGGTAGACAATTTGGTAAACTTGATGTTTTGCTAAATGTCCGTAGTCCTATTTTATGAGCTTATGATTCTTACACACAAACACATTCGTTGACTTCGTCAAGAAAAGTAAAACTTCTTAGGAGAAAGTTGTTACCTAGTTGTTGGTTGTTTAAAATGTAGCGATTTTTCCCCTCTTCATTAGATTTTCTAGAATCGTTGAACCTGCTTTTGCATAAGCTACAACTTGGAATGTTTTTTCCATTTGTGTAAATTGGATGTCGACGCGCATTAAAAAATGGATTCTTTTGTTCCAAGTGTCTCAAGCACTAATAAATTTGTTGCTCAAGCATTAAGTTTTATCATCATTACATTTTGTTTAAAACTAATTCACTTAACTAATTTCTGCCATTTCAGATTGTAACTTAATGTACTATATGTACCTTGATTTTTCTAATGAATTGATCAAGGAGCTAGAGAAAAGAACTGCCTTTATGTGTGGACATAGGTCCGCCATGAATTTGTTAGTTTACCTTTTCTCCCAAAAGCTTAAGCTCTTAGGAGGTGGGCCAAAACTAACTGGTTTATTTATGCATCTACTTAAAAAAAAAAAAAAAGCACCTAGATTAATAGCTCTTTTAAACATCAGTTATCATTGTGAGTAACTGCAATTCAACTGTTTTCACCAAAACCATAAATGTTTGCACTTATCATTTGGCATTATTTGTTTGGGGCTTTACAAAGAATATGAAAGCACGCAGTAAAAATATTCTTGCAATATTGACCTTAATGCAATTGTTAAAATGATCCACATTCGTTTTTAGTAGCAAATGTATACACTATTGTTGGAAAATGCTAGCAAAGATCCAAGTTACTGCTACAAGTTGAGGCTAGTTCCTCGTTTTTACTGCTTTGATGAGGGAACAAATATGGGGAGAATACTTAACCAGTAAGATAATTGTTGATTGCTGATGGCTAAAGGAAAAAATGGTAATTGAAGTCTTGATTCTCCATAGTTTTCCTCGATTAATTGTGATGATATTCAATTTTCTGGATTGTTATTCAAAGAAATGGAAGCTTGCTTTTGCTGGATTATCTAAGAACTCTTTGCCTTTTGTTTGGTGTCATTAATGGCCCAAAAATAATTGTTGATGTCTTTTCATTCTAGTGAGAAAGAAGGTTATCTTTGTATAACATTTTCTTTGTCTGATAGAGTTAGCTATACAACCTTTCACAACATTAAAAGACCGGTCAATTTTCACATACAAAATCATTGTGCCAAGGAAGTTCTCACTGGTATTCCATTTAGTGGGTGGAGCAAAATAAGTTCTGACACACTACCGTACTGGACAGAGGTGCTCCTTTATAGTCTTTTGCACTAGAAATTTGAATTTTTTGCACAATAGATCTCTCTTCAATGGATACATAAAAGATACTTAGCGATTTGAGCTCTCTCTCTCGGGTTTGCTAAACCGCTTCAACTGTCTTTTAATAACTTCAATGCTTGTCTTTGATTTATCATGTGGTAGATTGATGATACTCAACTATTAATAATTACTCAAGTTTGTTTCAATGAATGCATGTGTACTTACAGGTTTTGAGTCTAAATGTTAATTCTTGATGTTGACATGATATTGTAGAACTACTAGGGACCGAGATGCTAAAAAAGTAAACCAATGTGAGCTGCATTTGGATGATCACATTCAATCCAGTATACACAATATGAACAGATTGAACCTGCTTTATCCTCTCCTTTGTCTTTTTCCCCGTCTTCAAAATGGTATCTTGATGATCGATTCATTTGCAGGTTGACAGAAGGTACAAGCAATATTACCATCAGATGCAGATTGTGGTATCATCATTTGATGCAATCGCAGGATGTGGATCAGCAAAACCATACACGGCACTTGCCCTCCAGACTATTTCACGCCACTTCCGGTGTTTGCGGGATGCTATCACAGGCCAAATAAAAGCAACCCGCAAAAGCCTTGGCGAGGAAGATGCTCCAGGAAATGTGAAAGGAGTTGGAATATCGCGCTTGCGATACGTGGACCAGCAGCTTAGGCAACAGAGAGCTCTTCAGCAGCTTGGTATGATGCAGCAACATGCGTGGAGACCACAAAGGGGGCTTCCAGAAAGCTCTGTGTCGATTCTACGTGCGTGGCTGTTTGAGCATTTCCTTCACCCGTAAACCTTCTAGCCCTGCCCTTTTTCTTTGCGTTTTCATTTCTCGTGATTTGGTTGTGATACCGTGTCTTAGTGCCTGCTGAGATCAATCTAATATTAATCACCCGTAAACCTTCTAGCCCTGCCCTTTTTCTTTGCGTTTTCATTTCTTGTGATTTGGTTGTGATACCGTGTCTTAGTGCCTGCTGAGATCAATCTAATATTAAGGGGGCGTTTGGTTGGAGGATTCAAACCATGATTTGAATCATAGTTTGTGGTTCACTACAGTGTTTTCTCTCACAAAAAATAAACGTAAATCGAAAATGGTTCTAATCACATGATTCTAATCTATGAACCAAACGTCTCTTAAATAAAATGATGACATTTTTCAGGTATCCCAAGGATTCTGATAAGATCATGCTAGCAAGGCAGACAGGCCTAACTAGAAGTCAGGTAAAGATGAAATAACCATGCCATATATCTATTTGATTCGGAAAAAATGGAGTTCCCGTGTGCTTTTTGTCTTTCTTTTAATTTCTAGATCATTTGATCCCCAATAGGACTCGTTGGATCAGGGCATGTGAATTATACTCTTGAAAGAACTGTATTTGGTAGGGATTGCTTCATTTTTGTTGGAAAGAAGAAAAGTTTGCAACTAATATCAGGAGTACTAAACGAATGAGCACAACAATAGCTAACAATCTTTGGGATAATGCGATATAGAGGAGGGGAAAAAAATTTAAGTTCAGTAGCTTTTGGGTAACCTTAGAACCATTAAATTAGAGCAACCTTCAAAATACGGCGGTGATTGTCCGATTTTACAACAGACGTGGTAGGAAATTTTTTGAATGCATAAAAAATTCTAATGAACCCAGTTGCACCTTTATCTGGTACTTTAAATAGAGGCCGACAGTGTTGTATACGGTGTTAAATAAGATACCATTTAAGAGAACCTAATATTCGGAATATGCCTTCTTATCTTCGTTTCCTCTTTTTTTATTTGAACTTATGTAATTGGCTCAGGTCTCAAACTGGTTTATAAACGCAAGGGTGCGTCTGTGGAAGCCCATGGTTGAAGAGATGTACAAAGAAGAGACAGGTGATGCTGAGATGGATTCTAATTCATCCTCCGAAAATTCGGCCAAAGCAACAAAAGGCGACGTTAGGACCTCCGAGGACAAGGGGGCAGACATGCAGCAGCAAAGTGCGAGTTCAACAGGCACTGAGAGATGCAGCACTGGCCAATTCATGGAGTCAAAAACCGACCATGTTCCTGATGTAGAAATGGCAGGATCAATTCGATCCGCCAGTTTCCACAATGTCCCTCGCCGTGAAGCAGAGGCTGAATACGGGCTAATAATGAAGCGCAGGGAGGAACAAAGGCCCGGTATGGACGACTGCAGTCTCTTTCCCGACACAATGGTTCAGTCTGATGGAAGCAACGAAAGATACATGGCTGCAGCTGCTGCATACCACATGTCGGAGTTGGGGAGGTTCGGGGGCGGTAGCGGGGTGTCTCTCACTCTGGGATTGCAGCATTGTGATGTTGGTAGCCTACCAATGTCTAGTGGGACACATCACAGTTTTGTTGCCATGAGAGGGGATGATATATACAATGCTGCAGCTTCTTCAGTAGGAGCTGAGACAGCAGATTTTGAGTGTGTGAATTCGGGGAACCAGCAGCCTCGATTCGCTTCTTCCCATTTGCTACATGATTTCGTAGTGTGAGAAAAAGGATAAATAAATAAATAAATGAAAAAAATGCTTGATTGGAGATATCAACAATGGGGTGACAACAATTCTTAAAAGGTGAGGAACAAGACTTGACAGTGAAAATCAGGTCTTGCTTTGCTTGCAATGGTAGGAAATTTGTAGTCTTCCAAATATGGAAACACCTAAACACAGTTGTATTATATCAAGAAATTGGTTGGTAAGGTCAGCATATTTGTATAGATGAGATGTACAAGTAGTAACAACTTTGGTATTGAAGTACAAATAAAAAACAAATATACTGTCGTTTGATATAAATAATTTTCCTAAGTTGATTTAAGTTTTGCCCCTCGACCAAAAAAATAAAATAAAAAATAAAAAAGATATTATTTTAGTAGAAACTGGCTAATGCTGTCTGTGTTCTCACAATGACATGTAGAATAATTAATTATTTCTTTTTCTTTTAGTTTTTTTCTTCTTTTTTTGTAAGATCGTTTTTCCTCGAATGTTATATTTAGCAAGAAGCAACAGGAAAGCTAGGGCAAGAGATATTTGCTTCCACGAAGAACATTGAAATAATTTCTTTAGTAATGTTGGGTGGTTCCGGAGAAAATTTCAGTGATTTTGATGGAAAATTTGCCCCCCCACCCAAAAAAAAAAAAAAAAAAATCAAAAAGAGGAATATGAAAGTAGGGCAAAGGAATTTGGAATGACTTCCATTTTAGGCGTACAAAATACAAAGTTTTGAGTGTCTATTTACTTTAGGTGTCATTTGTTTCATATACTCAACTTAAATGATTGATTCTGCAACTGTATTTTCTTCTCACAAAAGATTTGAATTTCAAACATCAGAATCAAGAATCATAATTTAAGTGTATTTTCCAAACAAGCCTCAAGTTTTTTTATTTTCAAAAAAAGGGCCCCAATGTAATGTTTTCTTCTGTATGTATAGCTTTGTGACATGGGATCCCAAATATTTCCCAATAGGACATGTAACAACTCAAGTTCATTCCTCATGAACATTCTAACAAGAAATCTCTTGCTCTTCTTCAACCTACATTAACAAAATGCAAGAACTTAAAATTTTCTACATCTTGTTAAAAGTTGGAGGTCAGATACTACTTCACTCTAAGCAAGTGTCTCAGCGTTACAAGATAGCAGGATCTACCTGAAAAACATAAAACACGATTATGACAGAAAAACATCTACCTGAAAAACATACACACGGTTATGACAGAAAAACTATGGGATTATTTTGTAAATAAAAAAAAAGTGGGAAATCAAGATTGGAACAAAAGGAGACATGTGGGATACTAACCTTCTGTACATAACCTTTACATCTTCAGCTAACACTGGACTGCCTTCCAAGAACTCATCATCACAGTCGTTGATGTCAACGGTCTCCACTTGAAAATCCCGATACCCACAGTATTCATTCCATTCAAACCACATCTTAGAAATCAGTTCCTTCTTGAAGCAAGAGTCGTGATCTTCCTCTTCTGGCGACTCAACGGCCACCAATCTGTATGCAACCACTTTCTTCATCTGCCCGGGACGGAATGCACGCCCAATTGCTTGGCGGGTTACAGATGGATTCAGATGAACATCCAAGATTATAATTCTAGATGCCCCCACTAAAGAAATACCCTCTCCACATGCCTTAATTGAGCCAAAGAAAACCTTTGCAGTCGGGGGAGAATGTAGAAAGAAATCCGACCATTGTATACTTAGTTAGGAAGTTATTTATTTTTCCTTTATTTAGAATAAATTCTAGTTCCCTATTTCCGTATTAGATATTGTAATTTATTTGCTTTCCTATTTTGATGGGATTCCTAATTAAAAGGGATTCTGTTTCCTTTTCCGGTGGACTGGAATGCCAGCCACAATAGGCTATATATTAGAATGTAAATTCATTATTCAAATAATGAGAATATTCAGAATTCTTCTCATTGAATTCTTCATGGTATCAGAGCCGGTCCTCTCTGAACCCTAATCCTTCTCAATTCTTCTTTCTCTGGCCGTTCTCTCACCATGACCAAATACGGCATGGCCTCACAATCCTCCTCCTCGGAAGTCAACTCTAGAACCGAGTCTAATTCCTCAGCCCCTTCTGTCCCCGATACCTCTTCTCATCTTGTCACAAATCATAAACTTCATGGCCATAATTTTCTTCAATGGTCACAGTCTATTTTCATGTATATCTGCGGTAGAGGGAAGGATGGACACCTCACAGGCAAAACTCCTGCTCCAGAAACGACATACCCTAAATACCGATCTTGGAAAACTGATGATCACCTGGTTATGTCATGGCTAATAAATTCCATGACCACAGAGGTTGGAGAAAACTTCATGCTCTATAAGACAGCCAAGGAAATATGGGATACTGCTCGTGAAACTTATTCCAGCACAGAAAATACCTCAGAATTATTTGAGGTTGAGACTAGATTGTATGATCTACGACAAGGAGACTTGAGTGTTACTCAATATTTCAACACTCTCACACGCTGTTGGTTGCAATTGGACATGTACGAGATCCACTCTTGGAAGTGCCCCGACGACTCTGCCTTGTATAAGAAGATTATTAAGCAAAAACGGACAATCAGATTTCTCCTTGGTCTCAATAAAGACCTAGATGAGGTTAGGGGGAGAATCATGGGAATCAAACCTCTCCCTACCATCCGAGAGGCCTTTGCTGAAGTTCGGAGAGAAGAGAGCAGATGACAGATAATCACACCACACCGGCAATTGAGGGTTCAGCCTTGTACACGCACAACTCCTCTCAGAATAACAAGACCGGCAAAGGACGTCCCTGGTGCGACCATTGTAAGAAACTTGGTCATGTAAAGGCAACATGCTGGAAATTATACGGCAAACCTGCAGATTGGAAGTTGTCTAATGGTCGATATGACAGGAAAAATCATGCAAATGCCGCTGCCACAACAGGCAACAGTACAGAAGTCAGTCCATTCACCAAGGAGCAAATTGAGGCACTGCAGAAAATGCTTGGTCAAGTCTCTAGTCCTAGACAAGCATCTCAATCCTCTGCCGAACAACATACCAGCCTTCTTGCACACCAAGGTATTCTATCATATGCTCATGTTGTCCAAAATAACACTTCAAAGCCTTGGATAGTTGACTCAGGAGCCTCGGACCACATGATTGGAGACATTAGCGTCCTCAAGAATTACCGTCCCTACACTATCCACTCGGGAGTCCGAATTGCTGATGGCTCATTCTCACCAGTAGCGGGAACTGGATCAGTTCATTTGACAAAGGATCTTCACCTTTCCTCTGTTCTTTATGTTCCTAAATTAAACTGCAATCTACTCTACATCAGCCAACTTACTCGTGATTTGAAATGTGTAACTAAATTTTATTCCAATCTTTGTGATTTTCAGGCAGTGGATTCGGGGAAGGTGATTGGCAGTGCTAAGATGCGTGGTGGCCTATATTTGCTCAAAGAAAATAATCTCCTCAGTAGACAAGTTCACCCGTCAAGTTGTGGTCCTGAGTCTAGTTCAAATTCAGTCAAATCTATTTCCAATTCTGTTTCAGTTGAGAGTCAAGTCATGTTGTGGCACTATCGCCTTGGTCATCCAAACTTTGCTTATGTTGAAAAGTTGTTTCCACATTTGTTCATCAATAAAAAATTCAATTTTTATCAGTGTGAGATTTGCCAACTTGCAAAGCATACCAGACATGTATATTCTAGTCTACAATACAAACCTTCACATCCATTTTTTGTGATTCATAGTGACATTTGGGGACCCTCACGAGTAAACAATATTAATGGGGCTCGGTGGTTTGTGACATTCATAGATGATCATACAAGAACAACTTGGACATTTCTTATGAAGGAAAAATCAGAAACAACCACCATATTTCAATCTTTCCATTCCATGATCTCTACTCAATTTCGAAGCAACATTCAGGTTCTTAAAACTGACAATGCGAAGGATTATTTTAATTCCATTCTTGGTCCTTACCTTTCCAAGCACGGCATCATTCATATAAGTTCTTGTGTCGATACTCCTCAACAAAATGGGGTGGCCGAGAGAAAAAACCGACATTTACTTGAGGTAGCACGTGCCACTATGTTCTCTAATAATGTACTTAAACATTTTTGGGGGAAGCCATACTCACAACCACATATCTCATCAATAGGATGCCTAGCCGAGTCCTCAAGTTCCAAACTCCTCGTCATGTCCTCATGAATGCCTATTCACATATCTGTTTGTTTTCTTCAGACCTACCACTCAAAATTTTTGGTTGCTCCTCTTTTGTTCACATCCACCAAAATCATCGCACCAAACTCGATCCCAAGTCCCTCAAATGCATCTTCCTCGGTTACTCTTCTAATAAAAAAGGATATAAGTGTTATTCTCCAATCACTCGGAAAGTATACAACTCCATGGATGTAACTTTCTTTGAGAATCAATCTTACTTTCCCAAATCCGACATTCAGGGGGAGAATTCGAGGGAATACCAGGTTTGGGATCTCCTTCAGGACACTCAGGCCATTTTTCCTCAACCAAACTCAGCCACTGAAACAGCCCCTGACTCAGCCACTGAAACAGCCCTTGACTCAGCCACTGAAACCACTGAAATAGCCCCTGTTCCTGCCACTGAAACAGCAGCCCCGATGGTCTCAAATCCACCACAACTTGACACCAATAATCATGAACTTCGTGTCTATAGAAGGAGAAGACTAGCCGAGCATATAGAGGACACCATGCTGACCCAGGACTGTCAAGAATCGAAACCAAGTCCTCCTGCACTCAATAATCATAATGGTATGGATTCCTCATCTTATGACTCTCTTGTCCCTGAGATTGATGACTCTAATCAGCCAATTGCTCATAGGAAAGGTGTTCGAGGGTGCACTGGACATCCAATCGAAAAATATGTAGCATATGGGAAGTTGCTACCTCCGTACATGGCTTTTGTGTTAAACCTTGATAGAGAGCAGGTGCCGAATTCTATCCAAGAGGCTCTAAAGGTCCCAGCATGGAAACAAGCGGTTGAGGAGGAAATTCGGGATACATGGATCCTTACAGAACTACCTCATGGAAAGAATCCTGTTGGCTGTAAGTGGATTTTCACTGTCAAGTACAAAGCAGATGGAAGTGTCGAGAGATTCAAGGCCAGACTTGTAGCAAAGGGTTTCACACAGTCATATGGGATTGACGACTAGGAGACTTTCGCACCAGCTGCTAAACTCAACACTGTTCGAGTTCTACTCTCTTTTGCAATGAATCAAGATTGGCCCTTATACCAACTCGATGTCAAAAATGCCTTCCTGAATGGGGACCTTGAAGAGGAAGTCTACATGACTATACCTCCGGGATTGGAAAATAGTTCGAATAATAGGCTGGTTTGCAAGTTAAAAAAGTTTTTATATGGTTTGAAGCAGTCTCCTTGTGCGTGGTTTGACAGGTTTGCTAGGACTGTGATAGCTGACGGATATCATCAGTGTCAAGCTGATCATACACTGTTTGTTAAAGGTAAACCATGAGGTAAGATTGCTATTCTCATAGTATATGTAGATGATATCATTTTGACAGGAGATGATTCAGAGGAAATTATCAATCTCAAAAAGATGCTGGCAACAGAATTTGAGATCAAGGATCTTGGGACTCTCAGGTATTTTTTAGGAATGGAGGTGGCTCGGTCTAAGGTGGGAATTGTCATTTCCCAAAGAAAGTACATTCTGGACCTGTTAAGTGAAACTGGCTTGCTTGGGTGTAAACCTGCGGACACACCTATGGATCCCAATAAAAGGCCGAGCAGAAGTGAAGAAAGCAGTCTAGTTGACAAGGGAAGATACCAAAGGCTTGTTGGTAAACTCATCTATCTATCACACACAAGACCTGACATTGCATACTCAGTCAGCGTAGTAAGTCAGCACATGAATAATCCGAGTGAAGATCATCTAGAAGCAGTAAAAAGGATTTTGAGGTATCTGAAAATGACTCCAGGGCATGGTTTACTGTTCAGAAAATCAGAAAACCGTGAGGTGGAGATCTACACTAATGCTAGTTGGGCAGGAGAGTTAACTTATAGAAGGTCAACTACTGGCTACTGCTCATATGTCTGGGGTAATCTTGTCACTTGGAGAAGCAAAAAGCAGGCTATTGTCTCACGGAGTAGTGCAGAATCAGAGTATCGTGCTCTTGCACTAGGAATATGCGAAGGGATGTGGCTTCAAAGGCTATTAAGGGAGCTTAAGGTTGAGGCACGGGATTCGGTCAAGATGTTTAGTGACAGTCAAGCAGCTATTAGCATAGCCAAAAATCCTGTACACCACGACAGAACAAAACATATTGAGATTGATCGACACTTTATCTCAGAGAAGGTTAACAACGGGATTGTTCAACTTAGCTATGTTCCCACGAAACTTCAAATTGCTGATGTTCTCACCAAAGCGCTTCCAAGGGTCAGTTTTGATGAATTGAACTCCAAGCTTGGTTTGTATAACATATACAACCCAGCTTGAGGGGGAGTGTAGAAAGAAATCCGACCCTTGTGTACTTAGTTAGGAAGTTATTTATTTTTCCTTTATTTAGAATAGATTCTAGTTTCCTATTTCCGTATTAGATATTGTAATTTATTTGCTTTCCTATTTTGATGGGATTCCTAATTAAAAGGGATTTTGTTTCCTTTTCCGGTGGACTGGAATGCCATCCACAATAGGCTATATATTAGAATGTAAATTCATTATTCAAATAATGAGAATATTCAGAATTCTTCTCATTGAATTCTTCAGGGAATTGTTGAATCGCTCCATCGACCACTCCCTGTGCTCAGAGCTCGACTCGCCTGAGATAACAAAAAATTCTCTTCCTGGACACCACCCGTTTTCCTTCACTGCTAATCTCTCTAAAAATTTCAAAGGCACAAGGTACTGGCTGAAAACCAGCAGCTTCTCCTGCTTCGAGTTGCATAAACTTAGCATATTCAGAAAAAAATTCGCCTTAACTCCCTCTTCGACATCTAAGTTTTCCAGCAGCTCATCCATCGTCTCTTCAGTTGCGGTCCAATTATCTGAAAAGGACTGCAATTTTGGATGCAGGTAAATGGCACTTCCGACAGAATTTGCTTTAAATTTTCTTGATAACTTCTTTATTTTTCCAACTTCACGCATCTGTTTGGAGCTGAGATTGAGAATTATAGTGAAATCAACTAGTCCAGGAAGCTCATCCAAGAAATCACCTTTATAATAGTGCAAGACCTTGCTGGTCATCTCGCACAGGTCATGTATAACAGAGACTTTCCTTCTAAAATCTTTATCTTTCTGCAGTGTATGCTCCACCATATCAAAGAAAGCTGCCTCACCAGCAGCTTTGAAATGCTTCCTAATACCTGATATATCTACTTTGCTCATGATGCGCTTGACAATCGGTCGGGACGTCTCTATTCTCAGAAACTTTGGTCGAACAAGATTCAGGATATTAAACACCTCCTTGACGTGATTCTGATTGCAAGCAGTTGATACCTCATTGTTTTCTGGATCACAAACAATGGAGGAGAACTGTTTGTAACCTAGGAAAAGGATACTTTTCGTCTCTACCCATTGTTTCAAAACCTCTAATTGCTGGAATCGACTATCTGCTTTGGCAGTGTAGCAGTCATATAATGGAATATTCTCTATCTGCCAAATCTGAAACTCTTTTTTCCACGTGGACAAAATTCCTTTCGGAAGAACAACAAGGGGTCTACCATTTGGATATTTTGCCAAGAAACTCTGTACAAAACTGATTATCATAAACGTTTTTCCTGATCCGGGTGCATGGGCCAGGATGCAGCCTCCAGGATCATCACCCACCAAGTTGCTAACTAGGAAATTGAAACCCTCCACCTGATGAGGTTTCATTTTCTTTGTGTGCCTGGGGTGGGCATATACTTCAGTAACCATCAAATCATCACAAGACAAATTAAGTCCAGCTATTCCAGTTGATTCATTGTCTCGGGATATGTAAGTTCGACAAGACCTTTTTATCTGAAATAATAGGCAATCAAAAACACACATGTGAAATACAACTTTATATCCAAAAGAAGGCGCATAGAAAAATGATTGAACCCTGAATAAAGAATTTAATGTACATGAATTGAACGCCGAATTGAAGAATACTATTATGCAATCAAATTCACAGACAAGTTTTGCAACAAAATTAAGCAGCTTAAAAAAGAAAATAGCAGAATTAGAGCATATTTATAAATCAAAAAGAGACGTACCATTTTGATTTTATAACTTAGTAATGTTCTATGTTGCTGCTAGATACAGTGGAACTGGACTAGAAACATGAATATCAACACCTGAAAAACACCTACCTAAGAACTGTTGATTCTCACAGAATAGGAAAGACTTAATGCATCAATGTCTCGTTGATTCTCTAAAGAAACCAAGAACAATGGAAGTAGAGAACAGTCTACAATTAAAAGAAAACACAACTCAAACTTGTATTCCAAATGAAGGATTGCATAGGGATTTGGAGGCACTCTAAAATGATCACATTCATGACTTACCCTTAAAAAATAATAATAAAAAAATTCTAGACTCCTAATCATGAAGTAAATACGGACCTTTTGAACTTTAGACTTCCAAAATCCCAAATAAATAAGGACTTCCAGACTTCCAAAATCACTAAATAAATAGGAGTTTTTAAACCTCTAAGGCCCATTTACTTAATTAGAAAATATCTAATTAATTACATGGTTGTTTCAGAACCCATTGATTAAGACTTTAATCTAAGATCCTACATTCCCGTTGGCCACAGGTCACTGGATCTACAAATCCAATTTTAAGCATCTAAGCCAAACAGATGCTTCTTAAAAATTTTTTTTAAAAAAAAAAGAAGGGTAAATTTAGTGAAATGTAAAATATTTGAATGCACAAAAAAAAAAAAATGAATGCACAAAATGAAACCTGACCTTGTTATACTGGAACTCAAATATATTCTCAATTCCTTTGTCAATAACCCCGCAAATGCGACAAACATAACCAATATCATCTTTTAAGATAAAAGAATGGTCACAGCTTTCTTCATCTTCTTTCACTTGTTCATCTGCTGAGGGATCTACAGCAACATCCTGGAAGCAGCATGACGGAACGGAAGTACGCTTTAGTACGTATGCTATATGTGACAATTAGCAAAGTGGTAAAACATTTTGGAGATAATAGAAATCTGAACTCTAAGTAACAAACTTGAAAGTAGATTCAAATATATCCTGCGTTGAAAGTCAGCCTTCAGGTTTAGAGTGAAACATAACCTTGAAAGAAAAATTTTACCCCATGAGAACGTTAGGATTATCTATCAATTTTACCTTTGATTCCCTATGCTTCTCAATTTGCCACCATTGGGGATTATTGAACATTAAAAGTTGCTTTTCAATTTTCTAATTTGGTAATTTAAAGTTGGGCCTGTGTTGGAAAGTTGACGTCTTTTAAAATTATAGGTATTGACATATATAGGGTTTAAATGGTCAGATCTATTAAGTGATTGATAGAGTAAACCATTCATCGTAGGACTTTCAATAGTTGAATGTATTTCCATTAAAAGTTCTTATATAAAACAATATTATATTTTTTTTTTGGAGAAAATGAACATGCACAGGCCTTACACGAAATTAGACTACTAAGTGATCTCTAATTATGTTTGCAAAACCTATTGTCAGTAGTTCAAGGACAATCCTCATACAATTCAAAGCTTTGTGCCCTTCCCCAAACATTTGAAAAATCATAGACCAAACAAATAAGAAGCAAAAACTCTTAATAAAATCTACAAATAAAAGACAGAAACAAAATATGCTCATTTGAGAAAAACCTTATGCTAAATATATATAAAAAAAAAATGCACACTAAAAAGAAAAGGAAAGTCTCTCTTGTTGCAATTGGTCTTTGTAATAATACCTTGGAAAATTCTAGTGCCATTGACATCTCATTCCACATGTCTTGAAGCCCACCATCCTCAGCACTGTTCTCAGAATCACTTTCATCTTCGACACCGACATAAACACCTCTATCCCTGTTGATGTCCGCATTAGTTTCCCCATGAAGCTTTATGGGTTCTACACGAGCTCTTCTATCTGCAGGGTCCCTAACCTGCACAAATAATCCTCTAATTAACTCTATAGATGGATAAAATAACATTGGAACAGTTAATAATGCAAACTGTAACTTTTTTGAAAGCAAAAGCACATATGAGTTCTAACAAATGCCCATGAATACTTTTTTCAGGACAAAAGTCAATGATGAAAGAATTGTTGATTTGTGGTGGACGGTGGCAAGTGAAGATGTGATGCATGCATATAGAATGTAAGTAAGTTCATAGAGTTGAGAAATCACTAGCATAAAAATATTGTCAATTAGCAACGTCTACTGTATACCAAAATCTTCTATAATATATGCAGGGTCAAATTACCTCTACGTCCTTTATGAAAGATCCTCCAGATGGTTGGTTCAAGAAAACATTCTGAAAATTATAAGAAGGTCCGTCGTCTTCTCCATCTTCTTCATCAGAATCAATTGTTATGATAGGCAATGACCTTGTTGGAGTGTCATTTGCAACACAGTCATCATCTAAGTCGATGACATTATTGTGCGTCGAATAAGCCATTTGCTCATTTTTCAACTTAGCACCATCTCTAGAGTCGTTCTTTTCGGCATCAAAGAACCGACTTATAAGTGCTGGGTACTTTTCAAAATACGGGTATAAAGTTAGCATCTTCAGAGCAAGAATAGCCTCTATATCTTTTGTGACACTTCCAAACTTACCAGCATCTAACCCCTCATGAAAACCTCGAGTAGCAAGTGGATCGGAAAAATCAACAACTTTTGAAGTAGTAACTGGTTTATTCGGCACAGTTTCATCGGACATGCGTGAAGGGAAGGCCATTCCATCATGTTGTTTTCCATCAGCAGAAAATCTGGGCCGTTTATGCCCTGTGGAATAGGACAGCTCATTATGCATACTCGAAGGGAAGGTGATTCCATCCTGATATCTTCCATCAATAGAAAATGCAGGTCGTTTTTGTCCCAAGTAGAAGTCTGATCACAAAGTGAAAGGTCACAAGAAAATTACAAAACATTAGGACCACATACTTTCAAGAAAATATTATTGTGTTTTACCATATACTTTTATGAATGTTGCGTCCATCCTGGGGTGGAGTCACACCTTCCCGAGAATAGGCGGCCTCCCCACCTAATGTTTCTTTTTTTCCTCTCCTCTTTTAATGTTGTATACTTATTTTGTTAAAATTTGTAGTTTGTCCCCTCTAAAAGCCTGAAATTATATATGTTTGTCCTCTCTCAAAATCTGAAATTATATGTCCACCACTCACTTAATTTTCTAGCTCCGCCCCAGCTTATCCCCTATGCTTATAAATCGTGTTATAACTATTGCCTACGTTCTATAAATCGTATTAGAAACCTCCATCAGAAACCAGGTTAAAAACTCCTTAAAAAAAATTTCAATAACACAAATGGGAGGTTTTTGTTATTGCCCCATTTACTCATTCATTTTCTGCATTGAACACATCAAAGCATAGAAAACAGCTAAGCTACAAAAATTCAAGAAGACCCATATGAAATATATATAAATATATATTATAGCAAAAATTCTAATTCCATAAACCCTTCGTCCTCTCTAACAATTTCGAATTCATGCAACATAAAATACCAAAAATTCTCCAACAACAATGCAAAAATTTCAATCCTATTTGAAAAACCTCGCATTCAGAGCAACTCAAAGCAAACAAAAATTCTCAAAAAAAAAAAATGCAATAAGAAAAAGCACCATTATCAGTAAAAATGGGTTTCTGATAATTTCCACTTCGCACGGGAAGGAAATTTCTCTGCAGAATTTGGTAGAAATAAAATTCCGAAAAATCAAGAAAAATAGCATTCGGAGAGAGAGAGAGAGAGAGAATGAGAGTGAGATAATTACCTAGAGACATAATGGAAGAAATTTTAGTGAGCGGTCGAATTCTCCGTCTCGACCGAAGAAAGAAGAGCAATTTTCAGAAGAAATTGCCCGACTGAGAGAGCTGTATAATGTGCTTGGGAATTTGGGCTCACTCACAAATACATGCTATACTTGTGAGAGGAACCGGAAGCGGGGGAGAGAATTGAGAGAATTATTACGGGGTTGTTCTTTTATATTTTTGAATTAAGGTGATTTAAGTGATGATTTTAAGTTGAGTTTGAGTTATAATTTGAGTTAAAATTATAATTTAAAGTTTGTGTTTAAATATGTACATTTAAGTTATGATTTAAATTGAGAATTTTTTTGAATTTATATTTAAGTGGGTTAAAATTTAAATTTTTATTTATATAGTATTTTAATAAAAATTCAATGGTGATGAAAAATTTTAATAAGGTATATGGGTGAGGTTTTATTCGTCTTTTCGTTATAAATGCATAAAAAAAATCATCTCAATCAGAATTAAAACGAAAAAGTTATGGTATATTTAAGAATAAAAAAATACTGTCTATTAACTTAAGTTTGAGTTTATAAACTCGAGTTGAAAGAGAAACTTGAACTCGAGTTTAGCCACAAACTCGAGTTCAAACTCAATTTTACAAAAGAATATGAACTTAAATAAATTTGTAACTCGAATTCAAACTTTTTATGAGTTTCGTTGCAAAAGAACAACCACATCTTACTAAAATATCAATTTTCGAGAAAAGCATAGGACTCTTTTGTTTCTTATACTCAAATTTAAATTATTAATTTTGTTACAATTTTTTTAACAAAAAATTTAAAATTTAAATGTCAAAATTAATAATCGTGATTTGAGCATACATTTTAAACATACCTATAGTGTTAAATGACAAAATATCATGAAAATTTTACGAAAATTGCGTGAAAATATAAGTAAGATTTTCACAAAAATTTCTGTAACTATATATATAGGCAAAGTCTCTGGTCAGGCACTTGGAAAGTGCCTGACCAAACTGACACTTGTATAAATATACATGAAGTGTGTATATTTATAGTAATTAAGTGAACATATATCATAAAAATATGTATATTAATGTTAATGAACGTAAGCGACAATGTATATTTTTAATGGAAACATGTATTTTTTATAGCAATTAAGTGAACACGTAACGTATTAATATGTATATTGCTTGATTTGTTGTATTTCATGTTATTGAACGTCGTTTGGATTTTTTTTTTTATTTTTTTTATTTTTTTTACGTTATGCTGTAGGAAACGGCAATATACATGTATTTCTTATTTAAATTAAGTGAACATATAACATAGTAATATGTATATTGATTGAGTTGTGGTAGTTCATGTTATTGAACTTGCTTTGGAAGTTATTTTTGCTTGAAAAAGTCTTTAGTCATTTGGAGGTTGAATATTGTTGTCGTTCTAACAGGTTGGAAAGAATTAGTAGGGAGACACAAATAGGAGATTGAATATAGAAAGAATAATGAGGATGAAGTAAATTGTAAAATGCCATGAGTTAGAAAATATGTAAACGTGCACATGGAGTAGCAGAAGCCAAACAGAGACCAAGATGTATATTTGCTGTCTGAGATATGTGTATCC